GAGAGGAGATCAGGTTGAAGAGAGACACTCAGAGGGGAGCGGTCGGGATGTACACGCTTCCCGTCATGTATGTGTTTATTTACACGGAACATCTAAACAAAGGAGCGAGTCGTCGAGCCTCTTCAGTCCGACAAAGGTCGGGTTTCCGAACACAGGAAAACTACTTCCTGTCCAGCCAGGACTCTGCTGAGGGCTTAGAGTCCAGGCTGAGGTTTAGACCCGTTTCAGGGTCCGATCAGAACACAGACCGCCTCCCGTCTCCATGGAGACAGGTTTAAAACACATCACGTGGTGTTAGCCTTATGTTGCTGTTAGCTTTCAGCTGCTATTCTGCTACTTTTACCTTTCAACGAGCTTGTTGCTACTTCTGGTTTGCAGTTAGCCTTTTGCTACGTTTAGCTTTTATTCAGCCTTTTGGTGTTTTTAACCAGCCCTCTTGTATTTTTAGCTTTGAACGTTCACAGAACATTTCATTTCCATGGTTTATTCATGAAGTCCACTTATTAAAATCACCTTCAGGCTGTGAAACAAAAAGCAAACGGCTCCGTTTTGACACAGTCGGAACAAAAGCAAGCCTTTGGAAAGAGCCAAAGAACGGCACTCTGAATAAATTGCTGGATGCAATGTGGAGCCATTAATCAGCCGAGCTCCGGCTCGTTGTTGCTCCTGTTACAGTTTGGTTTTTCCCCAGCAGCAGTTTGTTTCTGCGGGTGTGGAGGACGTGTCCGACCTCTGGAGACTGACTGGACCCTCAGACACAGGAACATGGAGGCAGCTCCCTCTTCACCTCACCGGACCTGACCGGCACAGAGTCCACAATACTGCAGACGCTGCACCAGCCTGTCTGTCAGTCTCACGCTCCATTCTTCCCTCACTGTGAACAAAACCCTGAGATACTTGAACTCGTCCACTTGAGGCAGAACCTCACCCTCGACCTGAAGAGAACAATCCACATGATCCGATACGACGATCTACAGCTGGAAAAACATCTAAGACAAACTAAACTCTGGAGACGTGTTGGAGGGTGCAGCTGAAGCTGCAGCATCAGCCGACAGGAGTCCGGACGTCCTTAACAGTTAGAGCTCATGAAATGTCAGAGCGAGGAAGAAGAGGTCCTTGGACAAACCTTCTCCAAAGTCCCACAGTTCTGTTCGGAAGTGATTTGGTTCTTTTTGAGTTTCTTCTCTGCACAAGAGCCAGAAGAAATAAAATGTAGGAGGAAGAATTTTAAATAAACTTTACTCATCGAGCCGTGCGTTGCTTTGTTGTCGGGTCTAAAGAACAGACCCAACAGAACCTGCTGAAGTCTCTGCAGACCTGAAGGACCTAACACTTCTCCGACCTTTGACCCCAGAGATCCAAATTAAAAGCCCGGCCCTCTTTGCAAATATTTTCTTGAAATAAAATACTTTCCATGTTTTTGTAGAAGTTTGACGCTAAATAAAGTTTCTACCTTCAAACTGCTGCTGCTCAGTCCGTCGGTCAGAAACGTTACGACACGCCTCCAACACTGACCCCGGTGCTACAGCCAGCTGCTGCTGCTGCCACGGCCCTGACACGTCGGCTTTAAACCGTTTCAGAGCCAAACAACAACAACAACAACAACAACAACAACAACAACAACAAGAACAGCTGCTGTTGGTCAGTTTCCACAGATCAGAGCTGAGGGTCACAGATCATTTATATCAGTGAGACTCGCTGCTCGACAATCCTGTCTCATTTTAGTCTCTGTTGTTTTGGAGCTCCAGGTGTGACTCCTGCAGATGTGACTCCTGCAGATGCGACTCCCGCAGATGTGACTCCTGCAGATGTGACTCCTGCAGATGTGACTCCTGC